GTGCAGGTGAACTTTATGCTCCAGTTGTGAGTCCTCCTCAGACTGTTTAAATCACATCCAGGCATCTGTTCAGTCTTCTTCCTCGGCCCGGCCGTGGGTCGGTTCTGGAGGTATGTAAACATTAGACACAATCAATTTTATTACAGCTCTTTTCTTGGACCATCGTGACCTTACTGACCTTTAAATAGTATTGAAATTATTTTACTGGAAGGAGGAAATCGAAAGAGGTCATTATCTAGGCAATATGATTTAATATTCTCCAGCATCAGCCTGTGTGGTGTTTCAAACAGAACACAGATAAACATGCTGTTTGTGCTGCTGTCAGAAGTCATGTGGACGGTTATCCAGTAGTTTAAACCAAAAATAAAAGTTTTCCTGTTTTATTGTTACGTTTCTGCTAAATTATGTACATTATCATTTACTACAGGATCAAAATAGCTAGCCAGCATTATATATATATATATCTGTCTAAAAGGCTAACTAGCTGACTGCATACTAAACTAACAACACCTTGCTATGTTTGTTTGCCGTAGCACTAGCTAGCTAGCTTGAGTTCCTATTACTGTTAACTTGACATTGTATTTGTTGTGAATTTAAATATCATTGATAATAAAGTAAAATTATTTCTCCCCTCAATTGAGATTCCACATTTAGTTTGATCATAATAAAACTGCGGTCCATTATAACGTAATTACCGTCTGGATTTGTCCAGATATACTTACTTCCTGTGTACATATTATATTGATAATAAATAGATGTTAAAGGAAACCAGACGTGGTTTCTAAGTCGGGGTGTTTTTCCAGTTCTTTCTGCCTCCTGTAGTGACGGCCTTTTGTTGTCGTCGGCTCTGATGTGTTGTGACAGACCCAGTTCAGGTAATTCTCCGTCTGCTGCTGGAGGTTCTGGGACGCTGATAAAACCGTCTGGATGCAGCTAATCTGCTCTGTTCTGTAGCTTCACACGCTGCTGGTTGGTCCTTGTTTTGTTGATGTTCATGGTTGAGTTGGGGGGTTTATGAGACATGGCTGAGCACCG